ATATATATATATATATATATCAGAAACTACTAAAAAAAATTTAAAAACAACAAAATTACTAAAATGATGAAAACTGAAAATATAACAATACAAATATTATTAATAGTAGTATCTCAATAATACTAAAATAACAATGGAAGAAAGCAACTAAATCTCTCTGTTTGTGTGCTGCAGGTGATTCTGAAGACGAGAGAGCTCTCCGACAAGGAACTCAAGATGAAACAGCCGCTGATGGATTCGCCGTGCCATCAGAAGGTCTGACCAATCACGAGTCTCCAAACCATCCAGTAGTAGAACAGCACCCAGAGCGTTAGCATGCAGGCCTGTGTTCTCCTCGTCGATTGACTGAATCACTCGCTGTGCATTTTACTACACGGTTTAACCCTGTTCTCTGATCAGATTCCATTCGTTCAGATCTGATCGTTCTCTTCTCCCTCCACCTCTTTCTCTGCTCGACGTTTAACCTTTATGCTCTTCCTGTTTGTCTCTCTCATCCCGCCCCTTCCTGTTGGATAGTCTCCCTCAAAATGGTACTGGAAGCTGGTGCCTGTAAGTGCTACAGCGCCCCCTGCGTCCGTCACGTCACGCTGCATGAAAAGCGGGACTAGATGTTGTGTGTGTGTCTGTCATTGTGCATCACATGCGTTCATCCGTCCGTCCATCTCTCTCTCTGTCTGTCTCAGCCTGATCTCATGAACGCTTTGGCCCATTGCATGCTGGAGCCGGTGGAGTTCTCTCGTGTGGTACAGTACTCATGCTCTCTCACATACGCATACTAAAGGTCTGCGCGGACCCAAACCCAGTGCATTTGTTTAGCAATTACAAACAAAAACCTGATGCAGATCCGAGTCCTTTGGGGCCTCAAAGCGACTAGCAGGCGTCTAATACACACTCTTCAATACTTCACTCTTCCTTGCATCCATTTGTCTTTTCATGCATCCACACATCCAATCATTCTAAAATTATATATATTTTATTTTAAGATTTTGTTTATATGTACTAATTAGGGCTCCACAATTATGACAAAAATCATAATTGCGATTGTTAATTATGATTATCACAATATACATTGAATGTTTTGAATAGCTTAATAGCTGTTTGATGCAACTGCATTCCATATTTTTATATGAAAATAAACAAGCTGAAAACACTCTTCATGAAAAATTTGTATTGCTTTTCTATAGCATTAAGCCTCAAATGTTAACTATATATTGGTTTGATTTCTTCTTTAATAAAAAAAAAGATAAATTCAAAAGAAAAAAAATATTCATGGTATTCTAATGTTATAGTAAAACTAAAATTATAACAATTGACAAAAACCTGTAGAAAGAAAAAAAAACACACACATCTTAAGCATGCAGAATAATGTAACGTTTGTAACTTTAACTAATGTACTTTTTTTAATTTATTTTTTTTGTAATTACGCCTTTGAATGATTGCATAATTGTGGCATCTGTAATTGTAATCACGGTTAGAAATTCGATTAATTGTGCAGCCCTAGTACTAATTATACTAATTTTAACTGTACTAATTTTAATTACACATGTATGTTTGCACACACACACACACACACACACATTTTTATAATATAAAATCAACTAATTTATATTTACTAATTTTAATTTAATTTATATATATATATATATATATATATATATGTGTGTGTGTAATCTAATTTAAATTTACTAATTTTAATTTTATTTATATATATATATCTGTGTGTGTGTGTAATCTAATTTAAATTTACTAATTTGTATTATTTGTGCGTTATTTTTATTCAGTAAGTAGTTTTTATTTATTTTTATTTCAGTTTTAGTTATTTTAGTACATCAAGTTAAACTAAATTAAAATGTGAAATGTTGAAGTAAAAAAAAAATTTTTTTTTTTCATTTAACGTTTATTTTATTTTAAGTAACAATGTTTTTTTTATGGTTTTAGTTTAATTTCAGTTTTAGTTAACTATATTGAGAGAAATTTATTGACACAAGAAGCCATTATATCATACAACACATTGCACACATATGGAGGTAATTTTGCATGAAAATCATTTTTATTTGTTCCCCTCAAAATGAAAATTCTGTCATCTGTATGTATCGTAAGCATGCAAAAATGATTCAAAGCTTGGGCAGAAGGTAAGATTTTCAGCAAATAATCATGAAAACAAATTACATTTCAATCTGTTCCTCACAGATACCATGTGTCATCCAAAGACTTGGAATGTTGTGCTTTAATATAGTTATATATATTATATATTAAAGTAATATGTTTATCATTAAGTTGTACAGACTACTTTTGCGATGCTTCTTTGTCATTTTTGGAGCTCAGCAGTCATAATTACTGTCCACATGTATTGTATGGGAAAGATTCGTCTTTTTATTTTTAAGTATGAACAAAAACATGTTTTTGGAGTGACATGAGGGTGATTAAATGATGACAGGATTTTCATTTCTGTGTGTACTGTTATATTTAAAGTGGGTGTATGATTTAGTATGTGAGAGACTGTGGGTGTGTGTGTGTCTGATCTGTGTTAGACGCTTTATAAGCCCCTGCCTGCTCTCTCTCAGGTACGATACCGTAGAGAACACCTGTCCGGCCGGCCGTTCCCACACCTGGCTGTGATGGAGGATCTGATGAAGGATGTTTGTGATGGAGCGGCTCTGCTAGCAGTCGTTCACTTCTACTGCCCTGAATACATGAGGCTAGATGGTATATAGACAAACAATGGGCCACAAATGAGCAGAATAATCGTGTCAATTCATTCTTATGTAAATTGTTGCAATCAATTAAACTCCACAGTTTAAATCAGGATTCTTTGGTGAATAATACACACACACAATGGGCCACAAATTAGCAGAATAATCATGTCAATTCATTCTTATGTAAACTGTTGTAATTAATTCAACTCAACAATTTAAATCAAGATTCTTTGATGAATAGAAAGTTCAAAAGAATTAATACTTTTATAAATAAAGTTTCAAAAAAAACAACTTTTATAAATGTCTCTGCTGTTCTTTTCTATTAGATATATGTCTGAAGGAGGTGCCGTCTCTGTCGGACAGTGTGTATAACATCCATCTGCTGCGGGAGTTTTCTAACGAATACCTGAAAAGGTGTTTTTACCTGCACACTGAAGATCTGCTCTACGGCCCACCGGTGCTTAAGGTCCGTACCGAAATATATTTCATTCAGTAATACAAAAGTATAGATAAAATAGTAACCTTCAAAGAAACCAAATGCAAAGGATAAGGCAGCACTGCATGCATTCTTCAGTTTAAACAGTCCCAGAATGCATTGCTCCAAGCTCAGTGAAAACATATCTACGCATACTTTTAGACTGCCATGCTTAAAAAATAAAATACAATTCAATTAGATGAATTGGATAAACAACTTAAAGTATTTGTACATCATAATATATGCATATTTTAATTAAATAAAGTCAAATAAAATAAAATGCAATTAAATAATAAAATAATTATATTTTAATATATATTTACTGTATATAAACTAAAACAAAAAGTATTAATAATCATTTTTAATTTAAATAAAGCTGAAATAAAATAAAATATATATATTGAAAATGAAGTACTAAAATGACTAAAACAAAAACTGAAATAAAAATATATTAAAGCCAAATAGAATTATAAAAAAATAATAATAAAAACGGCAAAACATATACCAAAATTACAAAAAAATTACAAAAGATTTAAACAAAAAAAAAAAACTGAAAAAAAATAAAATAAATGTTTATTCAAAATATTAAGAAATACAATAATAGTATATATATAAAAATAATATAAACTGTTAATCTAATTACATTTTAATTGCATGGCATTAATTGATTCATTGATTAATTAATTATGCAGATTTTTATTAAAATCAAATAAAATAGAATTTAATTTAAAAAATACAATAATTCTATTTTAGTATATATTTACTGTAAATTAATTACTGTAAATAAGTTTAAAGAAATTATTACCTTTGAGAATAATATAAATTACAAAAAAGTGAAAAATTAAACCAGCTCTGTGCATTACAGTCTTTGACTTGTTCTTGTTTTTCCAGCATAACGTGATGGTTTTCATTGCTGAGCTCTTTTGGTGGTTTGAAGTAGTGAAGCCGGACTTCGTAAAGCCAAGAGACCTTCAAGAGATTAAAGATGGTAAGAACCGAGTCTTAAAAGCTCACTACTTTTCTGATGAACACTTTGTTTCAATCTAAAAATGTCCATCTCATGATTCATTCACTCTTTATTATTATGCTATGTTGTGATTATTATTATTATTATTACTAAATTTTTATTTAACATGGACATCACAGTTACATTGGACAAACCATATGCACTTGTTTAAGTGTTTTAGCACACATGCTAATTTTCAACACCAGTCCACGGGGGCACATTTCACTTCAACATTGTTAGAAAACAAACAAGTACTTGTATAAGTCAGCGCATGGAATCAACCCTGTACGTCACTTGAACATCACATTGACAACCCATTGCTCCAATCTTACAGTGAGAGCGTCTCTTCAGCCAAAGAGTTCCCGCCCCCATGTGCCCATATCCAATGCCACCAAGCGAAGCTTCTTAACTCCCTCCCCTTCAGCTGACTCGCTGGCGACAGCTGCCAATCCTGACGGTTGTATGTGGTATTACTTGCACCCCGAGGAGTCCTTGTCTGTGTAAGTCTGTTTGAAGTACCTAATGATCTGTTGCACATTGCAGTACATATTTCACAATTGCATTACATTGCATTACATTCATTGTTTTATAAAACCAATATTTTTTTTCATTTTTTTTAAGAGCAAACAGAAGCCCCTCCCACCCACTCCTCCCACTGCGGCAGAGACAGCAGAAGCCCGCTCAGGGGGAGGAGAATTCAGGTAACTACATCTTGTAATCAAACTTTCAGCACAATATTGCATTTAAATGAATGAAATTTATTAAACTGATCAGTTGCCACTCTATTTTTAAATTTTTCTCTGTCGTTCTGTGAGCAGAGCTCAGGAACAGGTCAAACTCTTTGTCCCGTATGGATGGACTCATGTTTGGATCACAGTTCGCCTGGATGGAAAGGAAACAAAGGTTTTAAATAAAACTAAAACTATTAAAATCTTTATTATTATTATTGTTTAACTCTGCTTTATTTCATATTTTTTTCATATTTATTGGAATATTTCGCTTTATTTCAAAATATTTTATAAAATAAAATAAATATTAGATGAAAAACTTATAAAACATAAAAAACTAAAATTTGAATTGCTCTGGCAATTACCTGAAATAAAACAAGTTGAAGATGAAGTACTAAAATGACTCAAACTTAAACTGAAATTAAAATGAAAACTGAAAATTTACAAGTACAGTAAATGCTAATTCAAAATAAATAGTATAAGAGTATATAAATAATTAATTAGGTGTGGATAGTCTCACCAAAATATATCATGGCGTGAGTAATTTTGTGAAATGTGACCCTGGACCACAAAACCAGTCATAAGTCGCTGGGGTATATTTGTAGCAATAGCCAAAAATACATTGTATGGGTCAAAATTATCGATTTTTCTTTTATTCCAAAAACCATTAGGATATTAAGTAAAGATCATGTTCCATGAAGATATTTTGTAAATCGACTACCGTAAATATATCAAAAATGTATTATCATTAGTAATATGCATTGCTAAGAACTTCATTTGGACAACTTTGAAGGCGATTTTCTCAAAATGTAGATTTTTTTTGCACCCTCAGATTCCAGATTTTCAAATAGTGGTATCTCGGCCAAATATAGTCCAAAGAAATTGACCCTTATGACTGGTTTTGTGGTCCAGGGCCACAAATTGTAATGGTAAATTAAATACAAATGAAGCTACTTTATCTCTTTATCTCATATAATTATTTTCTCATTTTATTTGGAAATTGCACATTCTCTACAGGTTGACTAATCTCTGCCATTTTACGATTCATACAGCCCAGTCCAAGAATGAATGACTAACCTGTTGAAATCTCAAATCTCTGTCTCTCTTGTTTTCTCAGGCCGATCTCTCAAATGGAGATGGATTGGGAACGTGTATGTGGCGATAATATCAGCTTGGCTCGATCCATTAGCAAGGACAGTTTAGCTTCCAACGTCATCTCCATTACTCCACGACACCGCATCAACGGCCAGCCCCTCCCCCAAACACATCACTATGACAACCAGGAAGAAGAGGAGGAGCTACTGGCTGTGATTAACCCAGAGGGCGCGTCTGCATCCAGAGACGCACGATCCGAGAGTTTCTTCTTGGAACCGTTGCAACCTGCAGTTCTACGACCAAATAAGGAGAAAACAGGGATTAGTAAGTGGGAGGAGAGTGGAGAGGGGCGGAGTCAGGGACGCCGGGGGGCATATACACCCACAGAATGCACTCTCAACCAGACCTTTACTCCAGTCGGTAGCATAGAGCAAGCAAGCTCTCGAGCGCAATCTCCCGGATGCTTCTTCCTGCACGACGACGTGGAGTGTGTGCGGGACAGTCCACTCGGAGGCTGGGAAGACATTGCCTCAGATTCAGAGTTTGAGGAAGATGATGAAATAGAAGTTCAGGAGCAAGAGCTTTCCAAAGCAGTTCTGATGCATGCTGGGAGGAAATGCGTGGGACTCGGAGAGGAAGAGGAGTCTGCAAAACTGCGCGAGGATGTTTGCTTGCATGAACGGGACGATAAGGAAGACACGAGTGGACGGGCAAGTCCTTGCCCCAGCATGTTGTCACAGGCCAGCAGCACGTCGACCGGCCGCATGACAAGTTTCGCAGAACGCCGCAGGAATAGAGTCGGATTCCCCGATGGTTGCTACAGCACCGGGAGCTCGCAGACCACCACTCCTGATGGATCCGAAAGCGTGCAATTCCCTTCGGACGTGAGTCCGGGAATGCCAAGTGGCCGACCTGGCCTCGCTTCTGAACTCGTACACCTTCGCATGCAGCTGGAGGAGAAACGGCACGTTATTGAGATGCAGAAAAAGAAGATGGAGAGCCTTTCGGCACGGCAACGGCTGCAGCTGGGAAAAGCAGCATTCTTGCACGTTGTTAAAAAGGGGAGGAGCGACACACTGCCACACCCACTCAAAACAGAAATTGGGTTTAAAGAGAAACCGCTTGCGAAGGATGACTCGTGCGTTGAGGTTCTGAAAGCCCAAGAAAAAGACACGGAGTGCAAAGAAACACCGGTAGAGAAGGATAAGGACAATCGTTTGAGTGTAACAGGAGGGGGCAGGGCTTTGGGCGATGCGAGCGGAGAACCAGATCTTGGCGAATGTAGCCGCTCTATCGAGCTCCTGAACGAAGCGATCGGAGCGATACAGCAGCAAATGATGCAACTGTCTCTCCAGCAGGACTTGCTCATGAAACAGACTATCCAGTCCCCGCAGGAAACAAAACCAAGCACTGTGCCGCCCTTAAACGAACACCCGCCTGAGCAAACCGAGACTAAATCGCGCCTCTCCGTGCAGTTCACAGAAACCCTTTCCACCGCGATCAAACGTCCTCCCAGGCTCAGCTCAAGTCGTACACCTCGGATGAAACCTAGAGACCTCAAACTGAGCAAAGATGCAAACAGTCATCCAGCAGTGAAACCAAGCACTCCGACACCGGGCGGCAGGACCCCCCGGGCTGAGAATGAGGAAGAGGGTGGAGCTAAAGAGGGTGGGCGTGACTCAAAAGGAATTATTCGCAATACTACCTTTAGACTGCAGGACTCCGCAGTCCAACGCGCCGACAGCCTCGACTCGCCCCAAACCGAACTCCCCACGGTGGAACAATCGCCTGTCGATCCGACCCAGGAGCGGAGCGAGTCCAGCGGCTCTGGAAAGGAGAACATTCCAGTTCTGTCCGAGGAAAACAGAATGAAAGCACAGCTGATTGAAGTGGACCTATCTGACCTGGCTGAACCGTCTGAAACTAGCACAGAACCTGATGGTGAACAGAAATCTGGACTGGGCTTCTTCTTTAAGGTACCAGAGCATTTTTGCAAATGATGATGACAGCGATGATGATGATTATTATTCGATTTTTTTTATCTATTATTATAATATGATTCTATATATCTATTTGTTATAATGCATTGTAAAAAATATTCTAAGTATATTGCGTTATAAAATGTAAAGTTTCAGCCCCAGGAAGCGTCTTTTAATGTGAATTTATAAAACGGATAGTTCCGGTCCTTGATTCTGATTGGTTGAGCCAAGTTTGAAGCTGTTATAAACATAGTCTACAAACATACACCTTTGTTTACGTTTGTGTGTTGCTCTGCAACCACTTTGTTGGAACCACAACAGTTTCTGAGGAACTACATTGTTTGGCGGAAGAATAATGTTTTTATTAATATCATTACACTTTATTTGCTCGGTTTTATTTTGTGAAACCTTACTACGTATATGGAATAACAGTTTTATAAAAGCTCCGCTTCGCGTCGTGCCTAACAACGCCCCTTAACTGTTATAAATTCACTGTAAACCATGGCTTCTTGGGGCTTATTGCTTTATTATTTTCCTTTTCTGTATGTAGGATGATCAGAAAGCAGAGGATGAGCTGGCTAAGAAGAGGGCGGCGTTCCTTCTCAAACAGCAGCGTAAGGCTGAAGAGACACGAATACGTAAGCAGCAGCTGGAGGCGGGGTAGGCGGGGTCACGAGATGAAGCCAGGTATCAATCACGGTCGATCCAGTGTGTCTCTGTGTGAGTAAATACAGTAAATACTGTGCAGCAGATAAATTTGATGTCATTTGTGTGTTTGTGTCAGACGAAAAGCTGAGGAAGA